TTTTTTTTTTAACTCCTATGAGTTGAAACCAGACACGGAGAGGTTTTCCAAATCCAGAAAGAGTGTTAAATTTGCTTAACAGAAGAGAAAAAAAACTAATGAAAATGTTAGCTCTAACACCAAATAGAAAGAACATGGGATTTGATATAATTTCAAAAAATAAAATCAGTTCTGATTCCACCATTATCTAGTTGTGTGCTTTTAGGCAAGATACTTACCTCTTTGGAGATTTGTTGATTTGAGCTTGCTGATTTATAAAACATTATTCTACCTAAGTAATGTCCCAGCTACAACATTCTAAGACTCCTATTCTTACCATGTGTGATTCAAGATAAATATAGCATATCTTATGTGGCTTCAGTTTAGCAACTTCACCAGGCATCAGGGCACATGAAAAACTAGTGTTTATTTTAAAACACAAAACAAAACAAAAAGCATAGGCCACTAGACAAGTCAGATCAATTCCAGTTTCAGAAAACTACCAGATCTATCACTGGGGTATTATAAAATTAAATTATAATAATAATTATTATTATTGGAGACAGTCTCCCTATGTTGTCCTTGGTTGAGTGCAGTAACGTCACAGCTCACAGCAACCTCAAACTCTTGGACTTAAGAGATTTTCCCGCCTCCGCCTCCGCCTCTGAAGTAGCTGGGACTACAGGTGCCCACCACAATGCCCGGCTATTTTTAGCTGGCCTGGGCCGGGCTTGAACCCACCAACCTTCGTGTATGTGGCTGACACCCTACTCACTGAGCTACAGGCGCCAAGCCTAAAATTAAATTATTATTAAATACACAATACAAGAAGAAAAATGTTACTCAGTAGGAGAAATGTTAGGGAAAATGTATGAAGCCAGAAAAGCATATCCAGTATGTTATTCATAGGATGGTCAATAGGTAAGTTTATACAGAAAAAAATAAAATCTAAATCTGGAAAACAGTGGCTCAGCCTGAAAAGTCAGACTGCAGCCAGATTATAGAAATGAGTTAGAAACCTCTCTGGAGACCAAGAATGCTTACCTTCTTCCAGGCCAAGACCTGGAAGCCTCATCAGTCAGCATGGCACTCCCTCCACACCACATCATCGCCCCATGGTGTCCTCTGCAGAGAGGACAGAGCAGAGAGGGGGCAATGCTTTCTTCTCAGGCCTGACACCATATACTATCACATCCTCTCTATAGTCATTTTGAGACTTTAGGAATATGAAAGAGTAACTACTTCTCACAGACGGGGACAATAAATGGCAAAATATTAGAAGTTTGGGGACAGAGAGTGACATGAGGAAAGTGTGTACAGGACAAATGCATGGGAAGAAGAGGCTGGCGCTAAAAGCCCCAGAGAAAAGTCAAGACTGGCATGTATCAGTACACATTTAAAAAATGGTATTCTCGGCTTGGCGCCTATGGCTCAAGCAGCTAAGGCGCCAGCCACATACACCTGAGCTGGTGGGTTCAGATCCAGCCCAGGCCCGCCAAACAACAATGACGGCTGCAACCAAAAAATAGCTGGGCATTGTGGCGGGCACCTGTGGTCCCAGCTACTTGGGAGACTGAGGCAGGAGAATCACCTGAGCCCAGGAGTTGGTTGCTGTGAGCCATGATGCCACAGCACTCTACCAGGGCAAAAGCTTGAGGCTCTGTCTCAAAAAAAAATGGTATTCTTCAGCTCTACAAATAGTGTCAGTGAAGCCCCATAATCCATTATCCACAACTGTAAAACCCCAAACTCTAATCCAAATTACCCAAATGTTTCATCATAACTGATTTGGGACCAAAATCACAACTGACCTGAACTGATACAAGACTATTTAAAATCTATCATACTTTAGTGTGAATAATCAGTTTTTGATATAGAAATAGAAATCTTTCAATGTAGGATCCTGCTCCTAGACTTTACAAGAGAATGTGTTTAACAGCAAAATTTTAACACATTTGATTACAAAGTTCTATCCCAGACCATGCTAGGGTTACGAAGTACCAAGGTATATACATGCAGCCTATTGCTCCTCCAAAATCTGAAAGAAATATGATTTCCCAAATAAATCTGGCCACCAAAGATTTTGATTAGGAGATTGCAGACCAGGCGTTCTCAAACTACGGCCTGCGGACCACAGGCGGCCCGCCTAGGACATTTATCTGGCCTGCCAGGTGTTTTTGCCACCGCTGCCTGTCCTGCTTAGCAGCTGACTCATCCCAGGGCCTGCAGTCCGGCCCTCCAACAGTCTGAGGGACAGTTAACTGGTCCCCTGTTTAAAAAGTCTGCAGACCCTATAAAAAAAACTTCAACTTCTTATTTCATTTTTCAATAAAAATCAACTTCATATTAGCTCTGTGAAAGAACTCGAAATGTTCTCCATCCTTAGAGAACTTACATGATATATAGGAAGAAAGGCTACATGTAAGTAAAATTATATAAAAGAAGGTAGCACTCAGCACAATATTCATATGACAGATGCTCCAAAAACCAGAACTAGGTCATGCATTAAGTGGCAAGATGAATGATACAGAAGTGATTCTTTTAAGAAACCATACCTGAAATAGAGAGATATAAGCAAGTTGTTACAAAAAGTTCTAAATATGTTAAGGAAGTGTTAAATTTTAAACTGGCAAAGGAACTGGGAAGGGAACTGAATGTGAGTATCAAGGCACAAGATGGGAATGAGAATGTGATGACTGAAATAAAAGAAACAGACCCAATTAGAAAAGAGGATTCAGGTTAAAGAATGGAGAGAAATAAGTATAGACAACAGGAAAAGGCTAGCTGATGGACCTCAAAAAGTGGGCAAGTAGTTGCCCCTCAAAGGACATAATGGTAGGGAGCCACTGACTACTCTTTACCAGCAGCAGCCTGACGA